CCGTGCCGGCCCCGTCACGCGCTCCCCACGCGGCCGTCTCGTCGGCGCCGCGCTGCGCCTCAACAACAACGCGCTGCGCAGCCTGGCCGCGCTGCCCGCGCGGCCGTTCCATGGGGATGTCGTTGGAATAGCATGGATGGTAGCACTGGGATGGGATGGGGTGAGATGGGATGGGATAGTGGCATTGGGGTGGGATGGGATGGGATGGTTGTGTTGGGTTGGGATGGTAGCATTGGGATGGGAGTGTTGGAATAGCATGGATGGTAGCACTGGGATGGGATGGGGTGAGATGGGATGGGATAGTGGCATTGGGGTGGGATGGGATGGGATGGTTGTGTTGGGTTGGGATGGTAGCATTGGGATGGGAGTGTTGGAATAGCATGGATGGTAGCACTGGGATGGGATGGGGTGAGATGGGATGGGATAGTGGCATTGGGGTGGGATGGGATGGGATGGTTGTGTTGGGTTGGGATGGTAGCATTGGGATGGGAGTGTTGGAATAGCATGGATGGTAGCACTGGGATGGGATGGGGTGAGATGGGATGGGATAGTGGCATTGGGGTGGGATGGGATGGGATGGTTGTGTTGGGTTGGGATGGTAGCATTGGGATGGGAGTGTTGGAATAGCATGGATGGTAGCACTGGGATGGGATGGGGTGAGATGGGATGGGATAGTGGCATTGGGGTGGGATGGGATGGGATGGTTGTGTTGGGTTGGGATGGTAGCATTGGGATGGGAGTGTTGGAATAGCATGGATGGTAGCACTGGGATGGGATGGGGTGAGATGGGATGGGATAGTGGCATTGGGGTGGGATGGGATGGGATGGTTGTGTTGGGTTGGGATGGTAGCATTGGGATGGGAGTGTTGGAATAGCATGGATGGTAGCACTGGGATGGGATGGGGTGAGATGGGATGGGATAGTGGCATTGGGGTGGGATGGGATGGGATGGTTGTGTTGGGTTGGGATGGTAGCATTGGGATGGGAGTGTTGGAATAGCATGGATGGTAGCACTGGGATGGGATGGGGTGAGATGGGATGGGATAGTGGCATTGGGGTGGGATGGGATGGGATGGTTGTGTTGGGTTGGGATGGTAGCATTGGGATGGGAGTGTTGGAATAGCATGGATGGTAGCACTGGGATGGGATGGGGTGAGATGGGATGGGATAGTGGCATTGGGGTGGGATGGGATGGGATGGTTGTGTTGGGTTGGGATGGTAGCATTGGGATGGGAGTGTTGGAATAGCATGGATGGTAGCACTGGGATGGGATGGGGTGAGATGGGATGGGATAGTGGCATTGGGGTGGGATGGGATGGGATGGTTGTGTTGGGTTGGGATGGGATGAGATGGGATGAGATGGTTGTGTTGGGGTGGGATGGGATGAGATGGGATGGGATGGATGGTTGTGTTGGGTTCAGATGGAATGGGAGGATTGTGTTGGGATGGGAGGGTAGCATTGGGATGGGATGAGATGGGATAGGTGTGTTGGGGTGGGATGGAAGGGGAGGATTGTGTTGGGATGGGATGGGATGGTTGGGTTGGGGTGGGATGGTAGCATTGAGATGGGATGGGAGGGTTGGATTGGGATAGGATTGGATGCGATGGGATGATAGCATTGGGATGGGATGAGGGGTTTGGGATGGGGTGGTTGTGTTGGGTTGGGATGGAATGGGAGGATTGTGTTGGGATGGGATGATAGCATTGGAATGGGATGAGGTGAGATGGGATGGTGGTGTTGGGGTGGGATGGGATGGGATGGGAGTGTTGGGATGGGGTGGATCTGTTGGGATGGGATGGGGTGGGATGGGATGGGATGGGGTGAGATGGTAGCATTCGGATGGGATGAGGTGGGATGCGATGGGATGGGATGGTTGTGTTGGGTTGGGATGGTAGCATTGGGATGGGAGTGTTGGAATAGCATGGATGGTAGCACTGGGATGGGATGGGGTGAGATGGGATGGGATAGTGGCATTGGGGTGGGATGGGATGGGATGGTTGTGTTGGGTTGGGATGGGATGAGATGGGATGAGATGGTTGTGTTGGGGTGGGATGGGATGAGATGGGATGGGATGGATGGTTGTGTTGGGTTCAGATGGAATGGGAGGATTGTGTTGGGATGGGAGGGTAGCATTGGGATGGGATGAGATGGGATAGGTGTGTTGGGGTGGGATGGAAGGGGAGGATTGTGTTGGGATGGGATGGGATGGTTGGGTTGGGGTGGGATGGTAGCATTGAGATGGGATGGGAGGGTTGGATTGGGATAGGATTGGATGCGATGGGATGATAGCATTGGGATGGGATGAGGGGTTTGGGATGGGGTGGTTGTGTTGGGTTGGGATGGAATGGGAGGATTGGGATGGGGTGAGATGAGAGGGGATGGGATGGTTGTGTTGGGGTGGGATGGAATGGGAGGATTACATTGGGATGGGCTGGGATGGTTGGGATGGGATGGTAGCATTGGGATGGGATGTTTGTGTTGGATTGGGATGGGATGAGATGAGATGGGATGGTAGCATTTGATGGGATGGGGTGTTTGTGTTGGATTGGGATGGGATGGGATGGGATGAGATGGGATGGCAGCATTGGGATGGGATGAGATGGGAGGATTGGGATGGGATGGATGGGAGGATTGGGAGCGGATGGATGGTTGTGTTGGCATGGGATGGGATGGGATGGGATGAGTGGGATGGAAGGGTTGTGTTGCAATGGGATGAGATGCGATGGGATGGCAGCATTGGGATGGGATGGGATAGGAGGCTTGGTGTGGGATGGGTGCTTGTGTTGGGATGGGCTGCAATGGGAGGTTTGGGATGGGGTGAGACGGGACAGGAGCCCTGTGTAGCGGTGCAGGGATGTCTCACGTGGGCGCTCCCGGCTCCCACCCGTATCCC